CGCGGCCATCGCCGCGCGGCTGACGACGCGGCTCAAGGACCCGAGCTCCGCGGGCGCCGAGGCCTGCGCCCTGATGTAAAAGCATACTACATGTGATTTTAGGGCTTCGCGGCCATGAGCTCGACGATGAGGTCCTTGTCGTCGGACGCGAGGACGAGCGTCTTCTCGACGTTCGTCTGCGGGTCGCGCGCGACGATGCGGAAGACGTCGCCCTGGGCCGCGCGCTTCCGCAGGCGCGCGTTGTTCACGAGGGCCGACGCCGGCACGCGGGAGCCGTCGACGGACTGGACGCGGTAGGCCTCGTGCCACTCGAGCTTGCCGCTCCGGTTCTTGCCCGCCGTCGCGCGGACGACCATGCCGCCGAAGCGGCCGCTGAAGAACCACATGAAGCAGCTGCGCAGCGCCGGGTCCTTGACCTCGGCCGCCGCGTAGGTCGCGAAGGCCTCGCCGAGGACCTGGACGTCGCCCTTGAACCGGAGCCGCCACTCGGACGACGACTTGCCGAGCGCGTTCGTCATCTTGCACTTCCACTCCACGAGGGCCTGGCGCTCGCCGCCGAGGCTGTAGACGTGGCCATGCTTCGGGTCGCTCGGGTCCGACGCGACGACGCGCAGGAGCAGCGACGCGCCGTCCTCCTCCTCGCACGTCGGCGCGGACCCGCCCGCGGCCGACGACGTCGCCGTGCGGCCGCCGATGGACCCGCGGCGCGCGTAGATGCGGTTCCGGTCGATGCCGCCGCCCTCGTGGGCGCCGCTGCCGAGCTCCACGTCCTCGACGTGGAGCACGCGGAGGAAGCGCTTGAACGCGAAGTGGCCCTGCGCGTCGGGCGCGGACGTGTGCAGCAGCTCCGTCGAGCTCAGCGTCTCGAAGAGGAAGAAGTAGTCGGGCCGCACCGTCGACCCGCCGATCTTCGTCAGCTCGCCCTCGTGGGCGAGCTTGCGGCCCGGCGCCGTCACGAGCACGTTCCGCGGCGCGCCGTCGAGCACGGACTCGATCGCCTCGGCGCGCCGCCGCATCGCGTGCGCGCCCGCGACGGCGTTGCAGGCCTCCAGGGTCTTGATCCACGTCGCCTCGGCGGCCTTCAACGGTTGGCTGTCGGCGTGGTGCGCGGGCGTGGTTTTGGATAGGCGCTGGAGGAAGAGGAGCTGGCGCACGAGGCGCTGCGTCGGCGCGATCAGCAGGCTCGAGACCTGGTGGTCCTTGCAGCGCTTGTCGTCCGCGGCGCGCTTGACGAAGACGCGCGTCGCGATGGACTTCTCGACCAGTTTGCGCACCTCGCAGTCCGCGCGCTCGTGCCAGTCGTACCACGTGCACATCGCGTCCGCGAGGCGATCCGCGAAATGCGCGAAGACGCCCCCGACTAGCGTGTGATCGGCGTCGAAGGGCGCGCAGCGCCGCCGGAGCTCGACGATCAATTCCTCGGAGATGGCCAGCAGCGCCTCCGCGGGCAGCGGGGCCAGCGCGCGGTGGAGGCACCGCGCGTCCTCGGCCTCCGGGAGGCAGCTCCGGAGCTCCGGCGCGTCCGGCGGCGGCGCGCCGCTCGCGCAGCACCAGGCCAGGGGCCGCTGGAGCCGCTCGACGAAGGTCGCGAGCATGTCGCGGTAGGTCTCTTCGGTGGACAGCAGCTCGCGGAGGCTGTGCTCCTTCTCCTTGTTTCTTTTTTTCGCGTCGGCCTCGGGCGAGTCGTCCTCGCCGAGCTCGCCGAAGGAGTCGCAGGACGCCTTGCGCGCGGGGAAGCTCGACGAGGGGGTGGCGTCGAAGGGGTTCGACGCGCCGAAGGGGTTCGGCGCGGCGCTCGGCGCGCCGAAGGGGTTCGGCGGCGGCGCCGCGGCCCCGACGCTCATGCCGACGAAGTCGAGGTCCGCGGGCGACGCGGCCCACTGCGACGCCGCGGCCGCCGCCGACGGCGAGATGGTCTCCGCCGACTTTGGCCGCGGCGAGTCGACCTCGCCGAGGCGGTCCAAAGCGTTGAAGGGGTCGCTGTGGCTCCGGCGCTCGAAGCCGTCGAACGGCGACGTGAGCAGCGTCTCCACGGTCGACACGGACGAGCTCGCGCGGCTCCGCGTGTCGTTATAGGGGTTCGGCGGCGGCGGCGGCGCCCGGCCCAGCTGCGCCGGCGCGCTGCCGTGGAGCCACGACGCGGGCAGCGAGCTCGCGGCGCCCGGCGCGAAGGGGTTCGCGGGCGCGCGGTCCGGCGGCGGCGCGGCGACGGGGCCGGCGCCCCGGAACAAGTCCGCGCCGCTGGGCCGCTTCGGCGGCGGCGGCGCCTGGCGCGCCGGCGGCCGCCCGCGGCCGCCGGACGAGAACGCGTCGATCTGGCTCCACATGCCCTCGCTCGCCGACCGGTCGCACCGCGGGCCGGCCGCGGGCGGCGCGATCGAGCCCTGGGGGCTCGCGGGCCGCGGCGGCGGCGCCGACCGGGCGCCGAAGGCCGGGGCCGCGCTCCGAGGCGGCGGCGGCGGCGGCGCCTGGTGGCTCCGCGGGAAGCCCGGCGACAGCGTCGCGCGCCGGTCCGTCCGCGGCGGCGGCGGCGGCGGCGCCCCGAAGGCGGCGAAGGCGTCGCCCGCCGACGCGAAGGGATCGGCCATGGCACCGGCGGACCGGTCGCGCGGCTCCACTCCCGGCGGCGCGCACAGATGTGGAGCAGCTCTCCCGCGGCAGACGTCGCCTCTGGTGGGCAACTCCGGCGTCAAAATGCAAGGTTTTGCGAAAGTTGAGCGTTCGGCGGCGATGAGGGGAGAAGCATGGAGAGCCTCTCTTTGCATTTGGCTGTCGCGCGGCGTTCGACGGGGCCATGGTCACGGGAACATGCGTCTGAATGCCGGGCGCGCCCTCTCTCCAGGAGTGTGCGCCGTGACCATGGCCGCGTCGGCGGTCGATTTTTATGTGCTCGCGAACTCGCTACTTTTCGACATGCTCTCTGACCGCCAGAGCAGCACTTTTTGGGCTTCGGGCAGCATGCTGGCTGGCGCGGAGGCTCGGGGTACACGTCTGGTGCCCTCGGGCTGCTCAGTTGCTGGTTTGGCTCGAAGTACGTGCGACACGCGCGCGCGGCCACGCGGCCGCGCGCGACGCGGTTTCAGCCCGAACATGTCAGATCGACTTCCTCGGCTCCTCTGGGCCAGCCCTTGTGGCAGGGCGCTCGCGGGTCGATGGCGGACGATCCCTGCTGCTGCGCGGGGCTGCCCGGGCCGCTCACGGGCCGGGGGAGGGGCGTCGCGTCGGTCAAATCGGTCGTCCGAAACCGCTCGCGTTCTCAGCGAATCGCAATCTAGACGATGCCGCTCCTTCGCCGATGGCAGCCCCCATGTGCGCGCTATGCGCAGTCCCAGCGATCTTGCACGCGGGGGCGCGCGCGCGGTGGTAGGCGCGCTCGACTAAATTTAATGCCTCCATGCCGTCTCGGGCTGAAATCAGCGGAACCAATTACATAGAGCGAGCCGATGAGCGGAACCAAACACATACAGCGAGCCGCAACGAAATAAACCGCAACGGATAGGCAATCTCAGTGGTGCTTCCCCCCTCCTTCGAAGCGAACGGCGGCGCCGGCGGGTCCGAAAGTGGTTGTTCTTCTCGTGGGGACGGCTCTGCTCGATCCAGGTGTACTTGGGAGGACGGGGGGTTGTCCGCGGTGGCGCCCACTTCGAACGCGCGGTCGTCGCGACCGCCGCGCCGCGCCGACGACGTCGATCGCGAGGAGACCCGCGCGAGCAGAACCCTCGAGCCCCCATCCGCGACACGAGAAACACGCGGAAGGTGCGTAAAGAAGAAGGTGGTGCGGGGCGCGCGCGGGCGGGAGGAGAACGGGAACGCTTCGTTTCCTGGGCCGGCGCGGGCTCGGGTCGGTGTGCGACCCGGCGGGTGTTCGGGCGCTCAGAAGCTGGCGGCGCGGACGTCGCGCCGCGTCGCGTCGCTCCGCGCCGCGCCGACGAGCGACGCGACGGGCGAGTCGACGTCCATGAAGACGAAGTGGTCCCAGCGGTCGTCGTCGCTGTCGCCGGCGCCGAGGTTCGGGAGGAAGTGGGGGTGGGGGCTCCCGCGCGCCTTGGACGCGCGCTGCTTCGTCGGCGCGCCGCGGCGCGTCGGCGTCGCGCGCTCCGAGGGCGCCGTGAAGAGGTCCGGCCGCGGCTTCGACGGCGACACGCGCGCGCCGGCCGCGTCGAAGTCGGGCACGCTGAGCGGCCGGGGGCAGATCGCGGGGCTCCGGGGCTTCCGGGAGCCCGTGGGCGCGAGGCGCGCGCCGAGGCGGATCGGCGACCACGCGGGCGACTTCTTCTTTGACGCCTTCGGTTTTTTGTCCGGCACGGCCGCGGGCGCGCGGAGCTGCTGCTTCCAGAGCGGCACGGGTTTGGCCGGCGTCGGTAGGGAGTGACTGACCGCGAGGGGCTCGTCGGCGCGGGGCGCGTAGCCGTAGCTGTGAGCGATCGCCGAGTGGAGGGCGGCGTGGGTGGCACCGACGGGAGAGGAGGCCATCATTGTCGATTCTTTTGCGGCGGTGTGCTCGGGGCGTTCGTATGAGGTGACGGGAGGCCTCACGGCCTCTGCGAGGGCGCGAGAGGTGCGGCACGTGTGGTGCAGGAGGTCTTGACGCGTAATCTATCAAGGATCGGAAGGCCTTGCGATTCAGAATTGTGCTCGTGAGCCCGCCGGGGCTAAATCGCACGCCTCTACACGCGACTCAAACGCGACCCAAAAAGCCCGCATCGAGGTGCCGCAACCCCAGAGGGCCCCCAAAAGCCGAAAAGAAATAGCGTGGTGGTGGTAAATATATATGTGTCGAGGAGGCGGGCGGCCCGTGGTTCGGAACCACCGAAGGCCGCCCCGTCGGCGCTCCGCCGGCGCCGCGTCGGTCGAAGGTGGCGCGCTGCCCGGCCGCGGTCCGCCGCCGCCCGCCGCGGCGGCGTCGAGGCGGCCCGAACTTCCGGCCGCGCCGCGCGCTTCCGGCCGCGCCGCGCGGGCCGCCGCGGCGGCGGCCCGGCGCGGCGGCGCCGCGCGGCGCCTTAGAAGAACTGCGCGAGCCACCGGAAGCCGTCGGCGTAGCCCATTTTGCGGATGACGGAGCACATGAAGAGCTCGATGGGCCGGATTTTGTTGTCGTCGTCGTTGTTGCGGCGCGCCGTGTCCTTCCCGAACGTCTCGAAGAGGCCGAGCGCGTAGCGGAGGTCGTCCTCGGACGCCGCGCTGTGGGCGTCGATCTTGTTGCCGAGCACGAGGAAGGGCACGGCGGCGAGCTCGTCGCAGGTGAGCAGGTAGTCGAGCTCGCGCTTGGCCTCGGGGAATCGGCCGCGGTCGAGCGCGTCGACCATGTAGACGACGCCGTCGACGGTCGTGAAGTAGTCCTTCCAGAGGCGCCGCGCCGTCTCGTGGCCGCCGAGGTCGAAGGTCTTGAACCGGATGTTGCCGATGATGAGCTCGTCCTGGTTCGGATGGAGCGTCGGCTGGTGGATCTGCACGCGGTTCTCCTTGAGCATGTGGAGCAGCGTCGTCTTCCCCGCGTTGTCCAGCCCGAGGAACAGGATCTTCGCCGACTTGTGGTACAGGCCTAGCACGGGTGTTCGTGAGTTTGTGGCGAGGCGGACGCGCGCGCGCGGGCCGGGGGCGCGCGCGCGCGCGCCGCGGAGCCGAGGGACGCCGGCGGACGCGCCGAGGTTGGCCAGCACGTTGAAGACCCAGTCGAAGAGCCACATGGTCTGCGCGGGAGGGCGGATGAGGCGCGACGCCGGAAAACGCGCGACCCTCGCGGAAAAGCGCAGCCGCCGGACCCCCGCGGCCGTCGGCGCGCGCGAGCGCGCGCGCGGCTCGCGGCGCGCAGCCGGGCCCGCGGCGGAAGCGCTACGGCGCGCTGGAAACTTCCCGGACGCGGCGGCGGCACCTCGGCGGGTCTCGCGGCGACGACGGGCGCTCGGACAAGCTACGTGTCGTAGAGCGAGCTGGTGCAAGCTGGGGGAAACGTAGCTCGGCTTTCGAAGCTGCCGAAGGCAAGGCTGCCCTACTGGACGATGGTGGCGCTCTAAAGTACACCAGTCCTCTCCGAGATGGCGCTCTTTCAGAGCGCCGCGGTGGCCGGGCCGCTCGAGTGGAACGGCCTCGCGTCGGACGAGCACCGCGCGGCCCTCCGCATCGCGCACTCGCCGGCCCTGGGGCGGCACCTCGTCGCGGCGCGGGCGTTTACGTTCGGCGAGGTCGTCCTCGCCGAGAAGGCGACCCTCGCCTGGGAGACGGGCGCGACGAACGACTCCGCGGCGCGGGCCTTCCTCGCCGCGTGCGTCGCCGCCGACGACGCGACGATGAAACGGGTCAGGACGCTGTACCACGCGCCCGTCGACGACGAAAACGGCCGCGGCGCGCTGCGCCTCGCGCAGGCGACGACGATCGCCTGCGACGCGCTGGGCGCGCCCGAGGACGTCGCCGCGCTGCTCCTGCGCTTGGACGCGAACGCGCACGGCGTCGACATGGGTCGCGCGGCGCTCTTCGTCGACGGCGCGCTCTGCTCGCATTCCTGCGACCCGAACCTCAAGTACGACGCGGCGGCGGGCGGCCTCGAGCTCACGGCGACGCGGGCCATCGCCGCGGGCGAGGTCGTCGCCTTCTCCTACCTGGGCAACGCGCGCGGCGAGACCGCGGCGGCGCGCGCGGCCGAGCTCGAGCGCAAGTTCGACTTCGCCTGCGCGTGCGACCGCTGCGCCGCGAGCGACGCCGCGACGTCCGCGGGCTGCCCGAAGAACTGCGGGGGCTACGCGTCGCTCAAGGCCGGGGACCCGCCGGGGGGGCGGCTCCTCTGCGCGCGGTGCGGCGTCCTCGAGCCCAAGTCCGCGCGGACGGTCTACGCGGCCGAGGCGCTCAAGCGCGAAGCCATCGACGAGATGCGCGACGCCGACGTCGACCTCGACACATCGCCCGCGGACGACCTCGCCTACGTCATGAACGCGACCCACGCGCTCGTCGAGGAGTGCGCGCGCGACCTGTCCCGGCGTCACGAGCTCACGCGGGCCGCGCGCGGTCTGCTCAAGACCGTGCTCGCGGCGCTCCTCCGGCGCCACAGGCCCGACGAGGGCCAGTTCGCCTTCCTCGTCAACGCCTACGTCGCCAACGACCTCGACGTCGTCGACGCGCTCGAATGCGTCGCCGCGCGGTGCCCCGCCGCGGGCAAGTGCGCCGCGCGCCACGCGCCGCTCTACGAGCTCAGCGGCGTCGTCTTCCAGACGGCCATCGCCGCCGTCAACCAGCTCCCCCCGGGGCTCAAGACGCGCACGCGCGCGGAGCAGCTCGCGCGCAAGTACGAGCCCTGCATCGCCCTCGCGTTCGGCCGGAACGACGAGTCCAAGGGCCACGTCGCCCGGCTCTTCGCCATGCTCCCGAAGGCGGCCTGCGTGCCCTGCCCGAGGCCCAAGGGCGCCGCGGCCGAGACGGGCACGCCGCGCGTCCCGACGCTGTAACGCGGCGCGGCGGTCGGCCGCGCAGCACCTTGCCCTCGAACGGACAGCTCTGCCAAGCAACCCCGAGCCGGCTCGCTGTATGTATTTGGTTCCGCTAGCTTATGGGGTGACCATTTCTAGCCCACTTTTCGCCATGGAGGGGGCGGCGATGGGGGTTGGCGCGGCTAGGACGCCCGAGGCAGGCATAACCCTTGGCGCTACCATCGAGACCCGATTGTTTCAGCCATCGCACATGCAGAGATCGGTCGATTTATAGGTCGTTTTGCACGACGAGCCGGGTTTTCGCAGTCCGCGGGTCGTCATCGACCTCGCCCACCACATCGAGCGCTTCCCATTCGATCAAACCATGACCGAAGGCTGTCGAAGCCGCGCTTTGGGCTGGCGCATGCCGGATTCGCTTATGGGGCAGCCCCGCACCGCACTCCGCGCCCGCACTTCCGAGGTGCAGTTCGGGCCGAAGATGGGCATCTAAATTCAGGTGAGGCTCGCATGTGCCCTCGCGGGAAGATCCCGAACGTAATTTGTATGGGTCCCCTGAATAACGGACCCCATGCCGACGCGCTCTTGGCCCCGGCGGTCACCCACATCCCGACCATCGAATTCTCCGCCCTCTCGCGCGTTTCGCGACGAAATTTGACGCGCCCTTTGCGTCCGACGCTGCGTCATAACCCCTCCGAGGCTCGTGCCAAGCAGCTTGCTGCGACTCGGGCGGCAAGCTCGCCGTCGGACGCCGCCGGCCGCCGAAGACGAGGTCCAGATTTGGAGGTCTCCGTAGTGACGGACAAATGATCGAGCGGCGGCTGCTTGGCAGTGGACAGGGTCTCGAGCTTTTGAACCGATGGCCAAAGCCTGCGACAAGGGCATGAAAGTGGGTGCCACGGTGACCGTGGCCGAGGGCGACAAGGTCGGCAGCGGCGGCGTCGGCATCGTCAAGAAAATTAATGCTGACGGCACGCTCGAGGCGCGCGCCGCGTCGCGTCGCCGAAACTCCGATGAGAAGCCTTTTTAGGTGGCCTACGTGCTCGGCGGGCGCAACCGGGCCGTCGCGCCGGACCTCGTGCGCCTCGGCGACCACTCGTCGGAGCTCTACACGCTGGCGCGCGCGCCGCGTCCCCCGCCGCCGCGCGCGCGCGCGGCGCGACGCCGGCCGCCCCGAAACCGCAGGAGGCGACGGCGTGGCAGGGCAAGGTCGACGACTGGTTCGCGCCGTCGGCGGACGCCAAGGAGTACGCGCGGCGCGTGAGCGTGCTCCACATCGACACGCTCATCGACAAGAAGCGCAAGGACCAGGTCGCCTACGTGCTCGACAAGCTGCTCGCGTCGCCGCGGCCGCCGGTGCAGATCGCGTTCCTCCAGGGCGCGATCCCGCTCCAGGCCGGCCCGCTCTTCGACAAGCTCCTCGCGTTCCTGGCGCCCGACGACGCGCCGCTCCTGCGGTCGGACCGCGGCCGCGCGTCGCCGAAGTCGTCCGCGGCGCGGAGCCCCGGCGCCGGCGACGGCGCTGCGGCGAGCAGCGGCCGGCGCTGGAAGCGGAGCGGCCACAAGTGGCTCGGGCGGCGCATCGCCGTCCAGGTCGAGGGCCACGCCGAGCTCTGCAAGGCCACCGTCGACGGCTGGCTGCCCGCGACGGAGTCGAAGGTGAGAGCGCACGCGTACGGCCCCTACGTGTCCGTCTACCACGCGCGCTACGACGACGCGGGTCTGGCGGCGGAGCCGGGCCTGGCCGAGCTCTACGAGCACGACGTCGAGGTCGCGCTGGGCCTCGCGGCGGCGGCGGCCGAGGGCGGCGTGGACGAGGCGACGCTCGCGACGTTCGCGGCCGCGCGCGCGCGGCCGCAGGTCTGGTCCGTGAACCTCGGCGAGCTCGTGCTCGCGCCGGCGGAGCTGGGCCGGCTGCGGGACACCCTGGGCCACGCGAACTGCGCCGTGACGCACCTCTTCTTCGAGTGCAACAACTTGTTCGGCGCGCCCTACGACTCCGCGGCGGAGCGGAGCGCGCTCCCGGACGTCGCGGCCGCGGCCCGGGCCGTCGCCGCGGCGGCGCGCCGCGACAGGAAGGACGGCAAGAACGCCTGGAAGGAGCTCTACCGCGAGCTCGTGCGCGGCAACCGGCGCAAGCACGACCTGTACCTGCTGCGCGAGGGCGACGTCGACCAGAACGCCGTCGTGCTCCAGGCCGTCAAGAACTGGTTCAACCCGAGCGGCCACGCGAAGAACAAGGAGTTCCTGGGCAAGCTCAAGGAGGACGGCGCGGAGCAGCGCATCCTCGCCGAGCTCGCCGCGCGGCGGCGCCGCCGCGACGACCGGGCCGTCGACGGCGGCGACCGCGTCGTCGCGCTCGTCGACGGCGCGTGGGCGCGCGGCGCCGTGGCGCCGAACGCGGCCGACGCGCCCATGGACGGCGCGAAGACGCGGCGCGTGGCGCTGGACGCCGGGGGCGCCGTCGAGCTCGCGCTGGCGCCCGGCGACTTCGACGCTTTGTGGCGCTGGGACGACGCGCCGCGAAAGGGCGACGTCATCGAGTACGACCTGGCGCACCAGCCCGGCGTCGCCAAGGGGCCCCGGCGGCCCCCGGCGCACCTGGCGACGGCCGACGGCTACCGGCGGAGCGTCGTCGTGGGCGCGTGCATGCGGGACCACGCGCAGTGGCGGAATTGCACGTACGTCGACTTGGCGACGATGACGACGAAGACCATCGCCCTCTTCTGCCCGCCCCTGGACACGCACCCCGTGAGCCGCGCGGTCTGGCGCCTCCAGCACGCCGCGGGGACGACGGGCGCCCGGGCCGTCGTCGCGGCGCTCAAGCGGTGCCACGCGAACGTCAAGGTCGACCGCGACGACGCCGCCGCCGTCGGCCAGCGCGTGGCCTTCGAGCTGGATGGGGTGGCGCGCACGGGCGTCGTCGCGCGCGCGGGGGGCGACGCCTGCATCTACGGCGAGCGGGACTGGCCCGCGCCCGTCGCGGCGCCCGCGGCGCCGAAGCCTCCGCCGCGGCCGCGCGACGCGCGGCTCGGGAGCCTGGTCGAGATCTACTGGGACGGCGACGACGCCTTCTACGCGGGCACGGTGACGAGCCAGAGCGACAAGACGGGCAAGCTCAAGATCGTCTACGTCGACCAGACGTCCGAGTGGCTCCACCTCGCCGCGGAGCCGCTCGCCGCGGGCGACAAGCCCGCCGCCGAGGGCGACGGCGCGCCCGCGGGCGTCGCCTACCGCGAGATCGACGAGCTCCCCGCCTGGGAGCCGCCGGAGGAGGAGGAGGTCGTCGAGGAGGAGCCGGAGCCCGAGCCCGACGCGCCCGAGGCGCCCGAGCCCGAGGCGCCCGAGGCGAGCCGGAAGCGCGGCGAGCCCGAGGCGGACCCCATGCCCGGCCCCGGCGACGAGATCACGGTGACGCTCCCGGGGAAGACGAAGGCCGTCGCCGCCCGGGTCCTGGGCTCCGTCGTCGACGCGCGCGCCAAGTCGGAGGCGTCCGCGCCGTCCGACGCGGGCGCCGCGCCGTCGGGCCGCCGCGTGCGCCGCAAGCCCAGCGCCTACGACGCCGGCGAGACGTCGACGGAGCTGTCGCGGCGGCTCAAGGAGGAGGCGGCGAAGCAGAAGGCCGCGACGTCGAGCCTCGTCGCGGTCTACGACCTCGACGTCGCGGGCGCGACGGTGAGCTACCAGCTCCGCGAGGCCGGCGCGGACGACGGGCCGGGCCTGCCCTGGACCCTGGTCAAGGCCTTCGTGCCGCCGCCGAAGCCGCCGAAGAAGCCCAAGGCCGCGCCGAAGCCGAAGAAGAAGCCCGCGGCCGCGAAGAAGAAGGCGCCGGCCGCGGCGAAGAAGCCCCGGGCCGCGGCCGAGCCCCGGGCCGCGCCGGCGCCCGCGCCGGAGCGCGCCCACCTGCGGCGGTCCGCGCCGCGCGCCAAGTTCGCCGACATCTCGTCGACGGAGCTGTCGCGCCAGCTGCGGGACGCGGACCGCGCGAGGAAGGCGTGGTGCGACGTCGACGTCGACGGGCGCGACGGCGCGCCGCCGCGCCGCGCGCGCCTGCGCCTCGGGGCCGCGGAGCGCGACCGGGGCCTCTGGCGGCCCGTGGCCGAGGCGGCGAGCGCGCCCGTCGACCTGCGGCCCGAGGACTGGGAGGCGCCCGCGGCGCTCCGCAAGGCCGGCGACGGCGCGGCGCGCGCGCGGCTCCTCGCCAAGTACGCGGGCGTCGTCTTCCGCGACGTCGAGGCCGACTACGACGAGCTCCGCGTCGTCGTCGACGTCGCCAAGGCCGCCAAGGCCTCGCCGCGCGACGCCGCCGCCTACGAGGCCGTCTCGCGGCTCGCGGGCGCCGGCGGCGACGACGCGCCCGCGCGCTACGCGCTCTCGGCCCTCCTCGACCTCGGCCTCGTCGCCAAGGCGCCCGCGGACAAGCAGACCCGCGCCGTCTTCGCCTGGCTCTAGGAGGCAGGCGCGGTCGCGCGTAAAAGGAATCACGAATTATGCGCTAGTCGAACGCGGCGGCCGCGTCCGCGGCGAGGTCCGCGACGGTCTTCTCGTCGAGGCTCCGCGCGGGCACGGGGTCCGTGGTCGGCTCCTTGGACTCCTCCTGGACGCCGGCCATGGGCACGACGAGCTTGGACGTCGAGGGCCGCGGACGCCGCGCTTGCCCGCGTGGCCCGACGCGCGCTTCTGCCGCTTCGACTCGGCGGTGTAGGACTGGTCCTGGACGACGGACGCGAGCATCTTCTTCCGGATGTCGGCGACGATGGTGTCCTTCTTGAGCGCCGCGATCTCCTCGATGCTCAGCCGCTTCTTGAGCTCGACGTCCGACTTGATCGAGGTGATCAGGCTCAGGGTCTCCTTCGGGTAGGCCTCGCGCATGCGGTCGAGCGTCGACCGGCTGAGGACGTGGATGCGGCAGTGGCCCACGGCCTCGACGTCCATGGTCCGCCGCGTGTCGTAGAGGAGGCCGATCTCGCCGAGGTAGTCGCCCTCGGCGAGCGTCTTCGTGAACGTGCGCCCCTTCTCGTCCGGGTCGACGATGCTCACCTCGCCGCCCGTGCCGATGAAGCCCATCCAGTCGCTCGGATCGCCCTTGCGCATGATGAGGTCCCCGGGCATGTAGACGGCCGTGTAGAGGCCCTCGACGATCATGCCGAGGAGCTGCTGCGACGGGTTCGCCTTGAGGAAGAAGACGTTCTGGGCGATGGTCTCCAAGAACAAGTAGAGCTTGAGGTCGCCGCGGAGCGCCGGGCTCAGGTCGCTCATGAAGGAGTCCTTCGTGAAGACGGTCGCGCCGCTCTCCTCGAGCTTGGCCATGTGGCGCTGGTAGTCGTGGACGCGCTTCCGCATGGGCCGGGGGATGTGCATGCGCGCCATCTGCGTCGACGTCGCCGAGATGCGCGCCTGGACGTTGTTCTCGCCCGCGAAGACCTCGCCGACGACGACCGCGAACGCGCCGAAGATCGACGCGCTCAGCAGCCCCCCCAGCACGATGATGCAGACGAAGAAGACCTGCTCCCCGAAGGCCTCGGGCATGAAGGTCCCCAGCGCGAAGAGCAGGGACGTCGCGTGGACCATGGACCGCGCGTAGGCGTCGCGCATGCCGATGGGGTCCTTGTCGCAGCAGTCGAAGCACGCCCGAGCGTCCCAGCCCGGCGACTCGCACGACTCGCAGAAATCCGCGGACGACCCGGCGCACTCGTAGAAGCCGAACTGGGCCTTGAAGGGCTCGCTCATGATGACGACCCAGCAGCACGCGGACCAGTGGATCGCGTACAGGAGCAGGACGACGAGCTGCGCGAGGCGGAACGCGGCCGACGCGTCGACGAAGGTCGTCTGGAGCTTCGTGACGAGCTTGCTCATGCAGAGGAGCCGCAGGAGCCGCGGGGATCGATCCTCGAAGACCCAGACCGGCGCGCAGGCGACCACGTCGAGGACGCAGGCCGGCGAGTAGACGTAGCGCGCCGCGAGCGTCCGCGGGTCCAGGACCTCGCGCTCGCCCACAAAGTAGGTCGTGCGCGTGGACACGGGGATGTCGCCGACGAGGACGGCGTAGGCCAGGATCTCCGACGGCCAGAAGGGTGTGAGGGCGTAGGTCGTCCGGTCGCCGAACGCCCACAGCAGCGGCGCCGCGAAGGCCTCGTGCGCCGCGACGAAGACCAGAAGCACGTCCCAGGCGACCTTGGCCCGCGACCGCGAGCGGACGATGGTCCGGGCGTCGAGCGCGGCGAAGAAGTTCGCCGCCTGCGCGCCGTCGCTCCCGCGCTGGGGGCCCTTGAGCAGCTGCTCGAGGCGCTGCGCGTCCTCGGACGTGTCCCAGCCGCAGCGGTGGCCGTGGTAGATGGACGCGATGGTCGGCCGCCGCTCGCGGGGTTTCGCGCCGGGGTCGATGGGGCCGTCGCTCGCCGCGGCGGCCGCGAGGACCTCGCCCGCGGCCGCGAGCATGAGGCCGCCGTTGCTCGACGCGCGGCTGTGGCGGCTGTCGCGCGAGCTCCGGCGGTCGCGGCTCGCGCGCTCCGACGAGTAGCGGCCGCCGAAGGACATGGCCGGCGACGGCTCCTCGTAGTGGGGCGGGACCTGGTCCGGCGGCAGCGCCGCCGGCAGGGACATGCCGCCGAGGAGGCCCGGGGGCAGGCTCTGGTCCGGCGCCGTCGCGCGCCGGTGCGACGGGCCCGCGACGTCCAAAGCCCCGGGCTCCGGCGCCGTCGCGCGCCGGTGGAAGCCCGCGTCGAAGGACCCGGGCCGCGGCGCGTCGAAGGACCCGGGACGGCCCGAGTAGGCGGCCGACGACGCGGACGCGGGCCGCTCGGCGCCGACCGGCAGCGCCGCGCTCTGGAGCGCGTCGAGCCGCTCGCCCAAAACGTGCATCTGCGTCCGCATGGCCGCCAGCGTCTCCTGGAGCGCCGCGGCCTGCGCGGCGACGGCCGCCGCCGGCGGCGACGCCGCCGCCGCGTCGGCCGTCCGCCGCGAGTCGTCGTCGGGCAGCGGGCTCCGCGACGTCGCCGCGCTGAGCTTGCGCCCGCGCGAGCCGTCGCGCTCGCTCTCGCGCGACGCCCGCGCCTCGATGGCGTCGACGTCCTGCGGCGGCAGCCCGGACACGCCCGACAGGCGCGACGGGCTGCTGTCCCGACCCGGCGGGGGCTCCGGGTCACACAGCGGCTGCCCTTCGACGACCATCGGGGGCAGCATGGGGCTCGAGTGCCGCCGCGACGACATGCGCGCCGGGACGCCCACCTCTACGCAGCGTTTGCGGCGTCGCGCCGATTCAGTGGAGTTTCATCGTGATGTTGAAGACAACATGCACTGAGCACTTGCGAGCAATGATGCTTGCGACTCGCAGCCGATCGCGTTACACGATGCTCGCGCTGCTCTTGCTCGCCGCTGGCTCGGCAGCGCTGCAACCCGCGACGACGACGACGCTGTGGAACAGCGGCGTCTGACCGTTCGCCCAGCGCGCCTGGATCGCGCTGCTCGAACGCGACATCCCTTTCACGCACGAGCTCGTCGATCTCTCGGCGAAGCCGCCGCGGCTCGTCGAGCTCTACGAGCAGGCGCGGCCGGGATCGAAGGGCGCGGCGAAGGTCCCGCTCCTGGAGCACGGCGGCGACGTCGTCGTCGAGAGCGTGGACGTGTGCCGCTTCGTCGACGGCATCGAGGCGTGCGCCGGTCCGCGGCTCCGGCCCGACGGCGCGGCCGAGCTCGTCGACGCGTTCCTCGACGCCTGGCCGCGCGTCGAGGCCGCCTACTACGCCGTGCTCACGGCGAAGGACCAGCCCGGCGCCGACGCCGCGGTCGCGGGCTTCGGCGCGACGCTCGGAGAGTTGGAGGCGCTCCTGGAGGAGCGCGGCGGTCCGCTGCTCCTCGGCGCCGACGTCTCGCTCGCCGAAGCCGTCGCCGCGCCCTGGGTCCAACGATGGGCCGTGACGTTGCCGCGCTTCAGGAAAGTGGATCTCGAGGCGGACGTCCTCGCGCCGCGGGGCCTCGCGCGCGTCGCCGCCTGGGCGCGCGCCGTCGCGGCGCGCCCGGCCGTCGTCGCGTCCGCCGCGCCGCGCGAGGAGATGATCGCGGCCGCCGAGCGGTACTACGTCACCTTCCAGACGAGGTGAACGCGGCCGCCGGGCGAATGACGGCCGCGCGCGCGGGAAGACCCCCGCGCGCGCGGCCCGAGCGGCCCCGGCGACCCGCGTTCGCGCGCTCGGTAATTTTCATAACACCCTTGCCGCTCCACTCGGCGGCCGGCGGCGCTCGCGTCGGCCGCGGGCGACGACGCAGCAACTTTGAAGTAGTGAGTGAAGTCACCTTGCTCACGATGATGGACGATGGGCAGCCTCATCGGAGAGGATGCGGCGCGCTCCTCGTGCTCCTCGCGTCGCGCTGCGACGCGAAGACCTGGTGCGACCCGGCGGGCACGATCGCGCGGCGGAACGGCAGCATCGCCCTGCTGCGCAAGCATAGCAAGGCCTCGAGCTCCTTCGCGCTCAGCTTCGTGCGCGCCCACGCCGGCAAGTGGCGGAGGCGTGACACCAATAGCAAGGCCATCGTCGTCGATTCGCCCGCCGCCGAGGACAAGTGGCGGAGGCGCGACGACGACTACGCCGACGACACGTTCCTGTGGCCGCAGGAAGCGAACGCGACGGACGCGCGCTGCCTGCCCGTCTTCGAGCGCGAGGGCGTGCTGCTCGCGACGTCGCTCCGGACGCCGTACAATCGCACCGCGGCGGCGTTCCTCGCGTCGCCGGACCCCGCGAACTTCACGGCCACGGACAACGCCTACGTGCGCGCCTTCAACGGGCGATGCCTCGGGCCGCTCTCCCTGGAGACGTGCCTCCGGGGCTGCCCGGGTCCCCGGGGCGCCGTGACTCGCGACGACCTCGAACGCGCGAAAGAGCTCCTCGCCAGCTTCGACGTCGTTTTTTTCACGGAGGTGAGATGGTCGCACTCTCTAGGAACCCCCATCATTGCCAACGTAGGATCTGCCGCGCTTCGGCACGCACGTCGTCCACCCGCGGCCGCAGAGCCGCGCGAGGAAGGGCGGCCAGGCGCCGGAGCTCCCGCCGGACGACGCCGCGCTCGTGCGCGCCGTCGACCCCTACGACGACGAGCTCTACGCCTGGGCGCTGCGACGGCACGCGAGCTGCGGGTCGCCGGCCGACGCGCGGCCCTCCTATTAGGACGCGGCGGCGTCGACGCGCGCCGGGAGAGAGCGTGCGAGGACCGCCGCGGTCGCGTAGAGCGCCGCGAGCCCGAGGAAGACGGCGGCGTGGAACGCGGCGCCGCCGGAGCGAATCGACTCGGCGAAGAGCACCGACGCGCTCCACGGGCCGAGCCCCTTCGCGACGGCCTCGGCCGTGCTCATCGCGCCGCCCACGCGACCTCGTCGACTCGACTCGACGGCGTTGTTCGTGATGGTCAGGATGCCGATCTGGCCGCAGATGTAGCCGGCGCCGTGGAGCGCCATCGCGACGCCCGCGGCCCACGGCGAACGCGAGAAGGGCATCGCGGCGACGCTGAGCGCGGCGGCCGCGGCCGCGGCCGACGTCGCGCGCCGCGCGCCGGCGCGCCGCTCCGCCGCCGGGAACGCGGTCGCGGAGAAGGCCAGCGGCGGTAGCGCCGCGGCCGCGAGCAGCGCGCCGAGCGCGCCGTGCGACAGCTCCAGCCCGCCGCTCCGCCGCGTGGAGACGGCCCAGAGGCTCGTCGCCTCGTTCGCCGCGAACTCGTTGAAGCCGAAGATCATGCGGCTCGCCGTCACGGACAGGAGCGGCCCGCCGGAGATGGCGCGGAAGCCGACCCACCAGGGCTCGTGCTCCGGCGGCGGCGCCTCGATGGCCTTCGCCCCCTTCTCGGGCAGCTCCCGCTCCGCGTCCGCCGCGACCCGCGCGTAGGCCGGCGCGCGCCGCTCCTCCGGCAGCCAGAGCGCCGCCGCCGCGCAGGCCGCGACCGCGACGGCGGCGCCGACGAGGCTCGGCGCGAGCGCGGGCCGCGCGGCGACGAGCCCGTAGGTCGCGCCGCCGACGGCCGGGCCCGCGAGGATGCTGAGCCCGCCGAACGCGATCGCGCGGCCGATGAGCAGGCTCTGCTTCTCCGGGCCCAGGGCCTCGGACGCGTAGATGGGGAAGACGACGGGCCAGCCGCAGGACGCGCCGAGGAGCGCGCGGCTCGCGAGGACCGCCGGCAGCGACTCGACGACCCCGAAGGCGACCTGCCCGACGGCGAGCGCCGCCATGCTCGCGACGACGCAGCGCCGCCGGCCGAAGCCGTCCGCCGCGGCGCCCCACAGCGCGGCCACGGGGATGCGGCCCAGCGTCACCGCGGACCCGAGCAGGCCCGCGACGAAGCCCGCGGCGTCGCGGTCCGACGCCCAGCCGCTGTCGACGACGTAAAAGGCCGCGTAGGCGAAGAGGCTGCAGATGGCGTACATGTGCGCCGCCTCGCAGAGGCTGCAGGCCGCGACGACCCGGTGCTCGAACCAGGTCGCCATGGCTGCTGCGTCGCTAGAGCGCTGCCCAAGGCATCAGACCTGAGCTGCCCATGCCCATGCACCGGGCCGATGCTGCCGCACTCGCTAAATTTATGTGCCACGGTGCCTCGACATTGCACCAGCTCGAGGCGTCCGCGTGCGCCGGGAGCGCGCGGGAGCAGCGGCACCAGCAGCTTGAGACGTCCGCGTGCGCCGGGAGCGCACGGGAGCATCGGCACCAGCAGCTCGAGACGTCCGCGTGCGGCGGGAGCGCTCGGGAGCACCGGCACCAGCAGCAGCCATGTGCCGCAACACCCACGAGATGACGGCGCCGCTGCTCGACGACGACGCCGAGGCCGGCGCCGGGTCGCTGCGCCTCGACTGGGAGCGCGTGACCGCACACGTCGGCGCGGCGCCGCCGTCGCGGCTCGAGCGCGTCTTCTGCGGCGCCGGCCGGAGCAAGGACGACGCGCCGCGGCTCAAGGTCGCGCTCGACGCGGCGAGCGGGTCCGTCGCGCCCGGCGAGATGGCGTGCATGCTCGGCCCGTCCGGCGCCGGCAAGACGACGCTGCTGTCGATCCTCGGCGCGCGGCCGCAGCTCGGCGCGGGCGGCTCCTGGACGGGCCGCGTGCTCGTCAACAACGCGGCGCCTCGAAAGTTGTGGCTGCGCGACCTGGGCTTCGTCATGCAGCGCGACATCTTCTTCGACACGCTCACGGTCGGCCAGGAGCTCGCCTTCGCCGCGGCGACGCGCCTGCCGCGGTCCTGGACGCCCGAGAGGCGGCGACAGCGCGCGGCCGAGGTCGCGGCGCAGCTCGGGCTGACGTCGGTGCTGCCGTCGAAGATCGGCTCCGCCGTCGAACGCGGGTTGAGCGGCGGCGAGGTCAAGCGCCTGAACATCTGCGTCGAGCTGCTCAACGACCCGAGGCTGCTGCTCCTCGACGAGCCGCTCACGGGCCTCGACAGCTCGCGCGCGTTCTCCGTGCTCGAGGCGCTCCGCGCGCGCGCGACGGCGGGCCACCGCGCGATCCTGCTGAGCGTGCACCAGCCGACGTCCAAGCTCTGGCTCCTCTTCGACAAGCTCGTGCTCATGGCGCCGGGGGGGCGCGTGGCCTACGAGGGGAGCGCGTCGGACGCGGAGGCCTTCTTCGAGAGCTGCGGCCTGCCGCTCCCGGCGAGCTGGAACCCGCCGGACCACTACGTCGAGTGCCTCGGCGACGAGCCCCGCGCGGCGAAGCTCCTCGCGGCCCGCGCGGAGAAGCCCCGCGAGGCGGCGGACGGCGGCGGCGCGCTCGTCGCGCGGGAGCCCTGGCCGGCCTTCGGCGCGCAGGTGCGCGCGCTCGCGGGCCGGGGCCTGCGCAACGCCCGGGGCACGATGCTGAAGCCGCTCGAGTGGGTCCTCGTGCTGTGCCTCGCGCTGATCTGGGGCTGGCTCTGGTACCGCGTCGACGCGCCCGGCGGCCGCGCGGCGCACGCGAGCGACGTCGTCTCCGTCGTCTTCTTCGTCGTGGCGCAGTGGTCCTGGGGGCCCGCGTTCCAGCAGCTCGGCGCGTTCCCGAGCGAGCGCGACGTCCTCACGAAGGAGCGCGCGAGCGAGGTCTACAGCATCGAGGCCTACTTCGTCGCGAAGCTCCTCTGCGAGCTGCCCGTGCTGGCGCTCATGCCCCTGGCCTTTTTGATCATCCTGCTGCCCATGGTCGCGGTGCCGGGGTCGTGCTTCGCGGCGATCTACGGCGCCGCGTTGCTCGTGTCCTGGGTGTCGCAGTCGCTGTCGAACGCCATCTCCGCGGCCGTCTTCAAGACGGACCACGCGACGACGGTCGTGATCATCGCCATGGTCTACTGCATGTGCTGCGGCGGATTTTTTATCGACATGGAGCAGCAGCCCGGCGCGATCTCCTGGGTCCGCTTCACGTCGTACTGGTACTACTCCATGGGCCTCTTCGCCAAGGTCGCGCTGCTGCCCTACGACACGCCCCACCACGACATGCGCGCCGAGATCGACACCTACTCCTTCAGCACGCTGTCGCTCCGCATGGACGTCGCCGTGCTCGTCGCCTACGGGACCGCGTTCCGCGTCCTGACCTACCTGTTCCTCAAGTGCTCCCGCAAGCTCCGCTTTAGCTAATCATTTGTTAACGAGCTGTGCGCCGAACAGGTGGCCGCGGTCGTCCTTGGCGAAGCCGGACGTCTGGTCCGGCACGTGGACTTTGGCGCGGACCTGGGCCATGGGGTCGTAGGCCGCGCGGCCGCGCCAGGCCTCGAGGGCGTCGTGGGCCCAGAGGCGCAGCTTGAGGTTCAGCCAGGCCCGGACGTCGCGGTCCTCGGCGAAGAGCGCGTCCGCGCACGCGTGGGCCGTGAGCACGTGCGTGTTGTTGTCGCCGCCGAGCGCGCGGTCGAGGTGGCGGAGGCAGTCCGACATCTTCAGCAGGAGGAGCATCTGACGCGGCACGCGGTCGAGGACGAGCGTGATCTCCTTGGCGTAGCGCTCCGCGTAGGCCTGGAGCATGGCGTTGTCCGCGGCGCCGTTGGACCGGAGGCTGTTCATGTCCGGGTTCGCGACGTCGTCCCAGGGCCGCTGCGTGAGCATGGCCGCGAAGAGCGGGTAGAGGTCGCCGACGCCGAGCCGCTGGGCGCTCGCCTTGATGCCCCGCGTGTCCGCCGTCGCGAGCGCGCGCCAGAGCCGCGCGTACTCCAACCGGAAGGACGCGTCGAGGTCGCGGTAGAGGCCGTGGTCCAAGATGACGAGCTCCGGCGCGCCGCGGGGGCCGCGGCGCACGAGCACGTTCGCCGCGTGGGGGTCGCAGTGGACGCAGCCGCCGGAGAAGGTCATCGCCGCGAAGGCGCGCGACACGAGCGCCGCCGTCCTTCTCGCGTCGAGGCCGAGGTCGCGCTCGATGGCGTCGCGCGCGGTCCCGTTCACGCCCGCCTCGAAGGACATGGTGAGGACGCGCGTGCCGGAGACCTCGGCGAAGGTCTCGGGCACGCAGACGTCGGGCCACGCGGCGAAGATTTTTCGCGCGCGCGCGCAGTTCCCCGCCTCGTGCTCGAAGTCGAGCTCCAGGGGCAGGTGCGGCGCGATCTCGTCGACGAGCCACGAGAGCTTAAAGTCCGGGAAGGCCCAGGCCATGGCGCGCACGGCGAGCGCGCAGGCGTCGAGGTCGCCCGCGGACGTCGCCGCGAGGCCCCGGTGCTGCACCTTGACGGCGACCTGCGCGCCGCGCCACGTCGCCCGGTGGACCTGCGCGAGCGACGCCGACGCGATCGGCTCGCGCTGGAAGTCGTCGAAGATCTCCCACGGCGCGCCGCCGAGCTCCTCGCGCACGACGGCGCAGACGTCGGCCCAGGACGACCGCGGCGCGTCGTCGAGGCACTTGGCGAACGCCGCCGTGTACGCCTCGGGCAGGAGGTAGTCGAGCTGCGCGCAGTGCTGCGCGATCTTCACGTAGACGCCGCCGTTGGCGCGCGCGAGCGCGAGGAGCCGCTCGGCGTTGCGCGCGTGGATGCTCGCGTCGTCGCCGCCCGCGGCGGCGGCCGCGGCCGCGACGGCCTCGGACGCGGCGAGCACGGCCTCGCGCGCGGCCGCCGCGGCCTCGAGGCCCGCGCGCCGCTCCGCGGCCGTCGTCGCGCGCTCGACCTGGAGGCCCGACTTCTCCTGCGCGTCCTGGGCCGACCGCAGCGCCGCCGCGGCCGCCTCGACGGCCGACGACGGGCCGCGCGCGAAGAGCTCCGCGCGCTTGTAGTCCGCGGCGACGACGGCGAGCGTGCTCGCGAGCCGCGCGCCGCGGCCCAGCGCCTCGAAGCGCGCGACGATGCGCCGCGCGTCGGCGCCGTCGTCGGCGTCCGGCCGCAGCGCCACGGCGGCGCCGAGGCACCCGACGGCGGCGACGTTCGCCGCGGCGAAGTATTTGATGGTCTTGACGTGTTGAGCATCGCTGCTGCTGCGGCGCGTCGCGACGCGCCGCAGCGCGCGCACGGACGGCCACCTCATCTGCTGCTAAAGCTAGTAATCAGGTCGGCACGCAAGACATGCGCCAAAAGCGTGAGTGCAACTCGCCAAAGGAGCCGCGATGGTGCCGTGTGATAAAGCGTGGATCCACCTGAGATGGGGCTGCTGCGTTCCACCGCGTAATGCTCGTGGAAAATGACGAGGCGTCCGACGACGGGACGGAGCCAACGGCGCCCATCTTCGACGCGCTGCCGGTCGTCGCGCACCGGCCCGAGTGCGCGGACTTCGCGGAGCTCACGGGCCGGGCCACGGACGGGCTCTACGCCGTCGTCGTCGACGGCGTCCTGAGCCGGGCCGAGTGCGCGGCGCTCGTCGCCGCGACGGAGCGGCGCGGCTACGTGCCGGCGCTGCTGAACAAGGGCCGGGGCCGCGAGGTCCTCGAGCCGTCGTTCCGCCGCGGCGACCGCCGCATCGTCGACGACCCGCGGCTCGCGCGGCTCATCTTCGACCGCGTGCGGCCCTTCGTCGAACCCTCCCGCGGCCGCTGGAGGCTCGTGGGCGCCAACGAGCGGCTTCGATTTCTAAAGTACGCCGCGGGCGACTTCTTCAAGCTCCACGGCGACGGCTCCTACGTCCGCGGCGCGGGCCCGCGCCGGGGCGAGACGTCCTTCGTCACGCTCCTCGTCTACCTGAACGACGGGGCCGACTACGCCTCGGGCCGCACGACGCTACTCAGCGCCGACGACGGCCGCACGGCGGTCGAGCCGGCCGCGGGGCGCGCGCTCCTCCACGACCACCAGATCCTCCACGAGGTCCCGCCCATCGAGGCCGGCGTCAAGTACGTCGTCCGCACGGACATCATGTACGCGCGCGTGCCCGACTAATTTGGAATGTTCGCTCGTGTAAAGTTGAAGCCGGACGTGCCGTGGGAGAGCATGGGGAGGCTGCCCGGTCTCGCGCTCTTGCTGCTCGTCGAGCGCATCGCGCCGGAGGAGATGTGCGCGGCGGCCGGCAAGCGCAAGGAGGTCGCGCTCTGCGCGCCGGCGCCGTCGCGCTGCGTGCGGCCGAAGAGCGTGTTTTGGCTCTACATACGCCAGGTCGCCGGCTTCTCCGTGGGCAAGGGCGTGCTCGACGCGCTCTACCCGGCGAAGCACATCGCCTGGGGCGACGGCTACAGCCTCGCGCACGAGAGGACGGCCAAGCAGCTCGCGGACGCGGCGGCGGCCGGCGGCGTCGCGCTCACGGGGCTGCGCCACCCCGTGGACCGCGTCGTCGCGCAGTACTTCCAGACCGCGGACCTCGAGAAGCGCACGTTCCTCGAGCTCGGCGAGTGGGTGGCGACGCACTCGCGGACGCCGCCGCGGCGCGGCCACGACGGCCGGACGAAGCTCTGGATCGAACTCGACAACGCGCAGACGAAGATCCTGAGCGGCTGGGACGGCGGCGCGCCGGACTGCGCGGACGGGCCGGGCTGCTTCGGCGGCGTCGACGAGTCGTCGCTCGAGCGGGCCAAGGCGGCGATCCGCGACAAGTTCGACCGCGCGCTCGTCGTCGAGTGGCTCGACACGCCGCAGTCCGTCGACTGGCTGAGCCAGCTCTTTTGCTTCGAGGCCGACGCCGCGGGCGTCGTGATCCGGCACATCCGCCCGAGCTACGCGCGCGCCGACGACGCGGCCAAGCCCGTGCCGGACCTGCGGCGCGCGCGGCCCGCGCTCAAAGGCCGCGGCGCGCGCGAGAAAGCCGCGTTCCGGGCCGCGCGGCGCGAGAACGCGTCCTGGTGGCGCGCGGAGCGGTCCGTGCTGGCGGACATCGACGCGCGGAATCAGCTGGACCTGCGGCTCTGGACCTGGGCCGCGGGCGAGTTCCGAAACGCGGTCGCGGCGTCCTGGGGGTCGCACCGGCGGCCGCCGCCGCCGCTGCCGCCGCTGCCCTGCGTCGACGCCGGGGCCCACTGCTGGAGCAGCGACGCGCACCCGCCGGTCCGCGACCTCGCCGTGTTGCAGTAAGGTTACTTCGGCGACGGGGGCTTCTTCGGCGGCGGCGGCGGCGGCGGCCGCGGGTCGTTCTCCTGGGAGTAGCTGTAGCCGTCGAGCTGGAGGTGCTGGCGGTCGAGGCTCCGGTGGCCGTCGACGAAGGCGGCCTCGCAGGCGCGGACGACCTCGGAGACGCGCGCGGACCGGACGCCGTAGTCGTCGTCGGGCGCGTAGGGCGGGTCGAGCCGCTTCTCGCGGAGCGCGCCGAAGTCGAGCGCCGCGAAGAACGGCGTTTTTGCCACGTCCGCGAGGGCCGCGAGGCGCCGCGCGGGCGCCTTGACGAGGAGGCCGCGCACGAGGTCCGCGGCCGCCGGCGACAGCGCGTCCGCCGCGGGCTCCGCGCGCAGGATATTCTCGAAGATCGCCCGGGGCTTCGCGTCGTAGAACGGCGTCCGCCCCGCGAGCATCTCGTAGAGCAGGACGCCCAGGGCCCACCAGTCGACGGCCGACGTCGCCGTGCCGTTCTTCGAGATCGTCTCCGGCGCCATGTATTCGAGCGTGCCCGCGAAGGACCGCCGCGCGCCGTCGCGCTCGCTGCTGCCGAGGCGCGCGAGGCCGTAGTCCGCGAGGTAGCAGTGGCCGTCCGTGTCCAACAAGACGTTGGCGGCCTTGATGTCGCGGTGGAGCACGCTCCGCGACTGGAGGTGGTCCACGGCCAACGCCAGCTCGCCCGCGAAGAACCGCGCGTGCCGCTCCGGGAACGTGGCCTCGCGCCGCAGCGCGCCCTCGAGCGAGCCGCCGCCGTAAAAGTCCGTCACGAGGTAGAGCTTCGTGCGCGACTGGAAGGAATACCTCAAATTCACGAGGAACGGCGACCGCACGCGGAGCAGCACCTCGCGCTCGACGAGCGCGGACTTCTCCATCTTCGACTCGTAGATGGCCCGCTTCGACATGACCTTCATGGCGTAGAAGGCGCCCGAGCTCTTCTTCCGCACGAGCAGCACGGCGCCCGACGCGCCCTTGCCGACGACGCGGATGGGCTCGAAGTCCTTCTCCGTGGCCTTGTTCGGCGACCCCGGCGGCGGCTCGGGCGCGCGCGCGTCCGGCAGCTTGATGGAGCCCGCGGCCGAGTCCGGGAGGTTGACCAGAACCGCCTCGTCCAGATCGTCCTCGAGGACCGCCGCGGCCCTGGCCTTCTCCTCCGCGGCGCGCCGGTGCGAGACCTCGCGCACGGATCGGCGCAGGCTCTCGAGCCACTCGCCCATGATCCCCGCCGACGGCGCCCGCAGCAGGAATCCGCCGTCGCGCGCCGCGCCGCCCTCGTCCCGCGAGTGCAGGATCTCGAACTCGTGGTCCGGCCCGCCGACGGGCCGAGCGGCGCTCACGAACGGCTCGAGCCGCACGACGCCCGCGCGCCGCGCGAGGCCCGCGTCGTAGAAGTAGCTCAGCTTCCCGGCGGCCACGTCCAGGAAGAAGTGGCGCTCGCTCCACGTCGCGCGCCCCGTCAGCACCTTCGTCAGGGACCGCCGCCGGCTGCCGTCCTTCTTCACGAGCACGCCCTTGACGCGCAGCGGTTTTTGGTGTTCGTCGTACCAGTGGCTGCTGAACACGGACGCCGACAGCAGGTCGCTCGCGTCGTCGCGCGGCGGCGGCGTCGGCGGCTCCGACGGCGTGCGCGGCGACGGCAGCCCCACGACCGATGAGGGAGCCATGGAGCTCTCTGCCTTCTTTTTTTAGGAGCAACATCTACATTGAATTTTCAAAGAAATCATCTTGAAGTGTCGTCCAGGCGTGGCACCCCTTTCGGGAAGACTCCGGGTAAGCCCTCGAACGCGAACGAGGTGCTTGAGACGCGTGCACGAAGGCCAGGGCTCGGCGAGGCTCTCTTTCGCTGATTCGGGCTGTGGGATTTTGTGCCCCACTTGCTAGACGATCTACGAGCTCAAGCGAAGAAGGACTCGCGCGGTCAGAGATCATGGACCCGGAATTGATCAAGAAGCGACGAGAGTACGAGGCGCGAAAAACCCGTACGAAGCTGGCGCTCAACATATGCACGATTTGCGGGAAGAAGGATGCCCGGCCCTGTAAAGGGTGCGGCACGACGGCCTACTGTTCGACGGACTGCCAACGCATCGACTGGCGCGACCGGGGCCACCGGAAGGCCTGCAAGAAGGTCCAGGCCGCGGAGGCGGCGCGGGCCGAGGCGCCGACGCCCCCGCCGTCGCCGCCGCGGGACGTGTTCTACGGCCCCGCGCCGCGGTCGCACGCCGACGAGATCCGCGCGCGCATCGCGGCGGAGCACGAGGCGGCCCGCGTGCGACGCGAGGCGAACCCGGAGCCCGAGCCGACGTCGGCGCGGTACGGGTCGCGGTGCCCGATCTGTCTCGAGGAGTGGGACGTGAATGCGAACAGCGTGTTTCGTACCTGTTGCTGCCGAAAGGTCTGCAAGTCGTGCCAGGACAAGATCGGCTCCGACGCGTGTCCCCTCTGTCGTGTACCGCACCCAAAAACCGATGCGGAGCAGCTCGCGCAGCTTCGCCGCCATGTGGAGAACGAGGTGCCGGAAGCGATTACGTCTTTGGGAATCGCGTACCGCTATGGTGACCTCGGCCTTGTGAAATCCGATAAGAAAGCAGCGAAGATTTACCGGCGCGCCGTGGAGCTCGGAAGCGTGGACGCGATGGTAGACCTTGGGATATTGTACAACAATGGAAGTGGTGTCAAGCTGGACAAGAAGAAGGCGGAGCGGCTGTATCGCGCGGCCGCGGACCGGGGCGACGCGGCCGCGCAAAACAGACTAGGGGCTTTGCTTCATTCTGAGGAGAAATTTGAAGAGGCGGTCCGGTACTACGCGCTCGCCGCGAATCAAGGCTATGCCGCTGGAGAGCTCAACCTTGGCAGCTGTTACGGGAACGGACAAGGCACGGAAGTCGACCTCGGCAAAGCCAGATACTGGTATGCGCGCGCCGCTGCCAAGGGCCACGAGACAGGTATAAAGGTCCTCGCGGAACTTGACGCGCGAGGACTATAGCCTAACAATCTTTACGCCGCGTCGTCGCCCGAGCCCGAGATGCTGCGCTTGCGCGCGGTCGAGTCGTGCTCGGCCTTGGCGTCGTCGTCGCCGCGTTCCTCTCCGCGCCGACCTTCGCGGTCTGGTGCCCTGGCGTTCTTCAACGCGAAGCCTGCCTGGCGCGAGGACGACGACGCCGAGGGGGGCATGGAGAACGACATGATGCCAGAGCTAGGCGTGGATTTAGCCTGGGGTGTAAGATTTTGAGCGATTTTGCCTTTGCGATCGGCCGAGGAGCCTGAGGAGCGACGCAAGGACGCGCGCGCGGTCAGAGATCATGGACCCGGAATTGATCAAGAAGAAGCGAGAGTACGAGGCGCGAAAAACTCGTACAAAGCTGGCGCTCAACATATGCACGATTTGCGGGAAGAAGGATGCCCGGCCCTGCAAAGGGTGCGGCACGACGGCCTACTGTTCGACGGACTGCCAACGCATCGACTGGCGCGACCGGGGCCACCGGAAGGCCTGCAAGAAGATCCAGGCCGCGGAGGCGGCGCGGGCCGAGGCGCCGACGCCCCCGCCGTCGCCGCCGCGGGACGTGTTCTACGGCCCCGCGCCGCGGTCGCACGCCGACGAGGTCCGCGCGCGCATCGCGGCGGAGCACGAGGCCGCTCGTGCCCTGCGGGAGGCGAACCCAGAGCCGGTGCCGACATCGGCGCGGTGGGGCTCGCGGTGCCCGATCTGTCTCGAGGAGTGGGACGTGAATGCTCCGGACGTGTTTCGCAGTTGCTGCTGCCGGACGGTCTGCCGATCGTGCCACGGCAAGATCGAAACCGCGTGTCCCCTCTGTCGGGTACCGTGTCCAGAGAGTTCCGCGGAAGCACTCGCGCGTCTTCGCCGCCACGTGGAGAACGAGGTGCCGGAAGCGATTACGTTTTTGGGAAGTGCGTACCGCCTCGGTCGGTTTGGCCTCGTGAAATCCGATAAGAAAGCCGCGAAGATTTACCGGCGCGCCGTGGAGCTCGGGGACGTGGACGCGATGGCACATCTTGGGGATTTGTACCGGACTGGAAGTGGCGTCAAGCTGGACAAGAAGAAGGCGGAGCGGCTGTATCGCATGGCCGCAGATCGGGGTGTCGCGATCGCGCAATACAATTTAGCGCGTGGACTTGATGCTGAGAAGAAATTTGCAGAAGCGTTCCGGTACTTCGCGCTCGCGGCGAATCAAGGCTTTACCGATGCGGAGAATAGCCTTGGCTGTTATTACATGGACGGAGACGGCACGGAAGTCGACCTCGGCTTAGCCAGATACTGGTTCGAACGCGCCGCTGCCAAGGGCAGTGAGCGAGCTACGAGGAACCTCGCAGACCTCGACGCGCGAGTATAGCCTAAGTCTTCACCCCACGTCGTCGCCCGATCCCGACATGGGGCCCCTTCTTTTGTTTGCTGAGCCCCCCTTCTTTTGTTTGTAAAACTTATTTCGCGTCGGCCTGCTGGGCCTTGGTGAGCTTCTTGCCCTTGCGGCCCTTGTCCTCCTTGGCCTTGCGCGCCTTCTCCAGGAGCGCCGCGCGGTCGCGCTCCGCCTGCCGCGAGTGCGCGTCGTTGCCGCGGATGTTGCCGTCCGTGTCGACCCAGCGCTTCCAGTCCGGCTCGGCCTTCTTCGCCTTGGCGTTGGCCTTCATCGCCGCCTTGAGCAGCGCGTCGTCGTCGGCGTCGGCCGAGGACGCGGCGGTCGACGCGGGCTTCCGCTTCGGCGGCGGCGCGGCGCGCGCGGCGCGCTCGCGCGCGAGCTGCTTCAGGAGCGAGTTCGTCTCCGGTGCCGGCGGTGGCTTGGGCGCCGGCGCGGGCGGCGGGGCCGCGGGCGCCGCGGCCTCGGCGGCGGCGAGGGCCTCGGCGCGGGCCTTCTTCTTCGCCTTCTTCGCGGCGTGCTTGCCGGTCCGCGGCTTCGGCGGCTCGGGCACGTCCTCGGCCCGCGGCGCCTCGAGGAGCACGACCTTGGCGCCGTCGACGAGCGCCGGGGCCGCGGCGGACAGCGGGGCGGCGGCGTCGCCGAAGCTGCCCCGGCAGACGAGCTTCTGCCGCTCGGCGTCGACGCCCGTCGCCGAGGCTATCGCGGCTTTGAGCTCGCCGACGGAGAAGGCCCGCGAGAAGGGCACGTCGTAGGTCGCGCCGGCGAAGACGACGCGGAGCGACAGGCACGCGGAAGAGGTGCGAGCCTTCTCCTCGGAGGCCGTCGGAGGCGAAGACGAGGCGGGCGAGGCCTTCTCCGTCTTCGCCTCCTCCTTCGCCTCTTTGAGCGCGAGGCGGCCGCAGCGCTCGCACCGAGCACCGAGCGCGACCAGGTACGGACCCTCGTCGTCGGGGACGACGGCGCCGTCGGGCCGACGCACGACGAGGACCGCGCCGGAGATGTCCAAATCTTCGAGGACGACGTCTTTGCCCGCGTAAAAGACCGCCCGCGCCGCGCCGTCGAAGCCGCCGTGCTGCGCTGCTAAAGCGATCACATCGCCGATCGTCGGGCCCGAGCCGCGATCGCAGGTCGCCGTCTCCAGCGCGTCGAGCTCGCGGAACGACAGCGAGACCGTGTCGCCTTTGTTCGAAACGACGAACGCCGCGCGCTTCTCCGCCGGCGCCGTCGTGGCTGTTGTTGTGCTTGGCTCGAGGGGCGTCGGCGCCGGCGCGCCGTCCTCGTAGGCGCTCGCGGAGACGTAGTCGCCCGCGTCCGCGACGTGGTCGAGGAGCGCGGCGATGAACGGGCTCGACCGGACCGTGTCCGCGTCGCAGACGACGGCCACGTGGCGCCGCGCGCGCGTCACGGCCACGTTGAGGCGCCGCTCGTCGGCGAGGAAGCCCACGGCCCGCGCCTCGTTGGACCGCGTGAGCGAGAGCACGACCGCGTCGCGCTCGCCGCCCTGGTAGCCGTCGACGGTCCGCGCCTCGACGCCCGTGCCCTCGAGCGCGCCGCGCAGGGCCGCGACCTGGGCGTTGTAGGGCGCGATGACGCAGATCTGGGCCGCGTCGAGGCCCGCCGCGAGGAGCAGGGCCACGTGCGACGCGACGACGGCCGCCTCGCGCGGGTTCGCGACGGACGCAGCGCCGTGCTCGTCCGCGTCGTCGCGCGTCTTCGCGTCCGAGTCGTCGAAGAAGCCGAGGCCCGCCGTGTCGACGTGGACCATGGGCCGGATCGCGTCGTCGGGGTTCACGGGCGGCGGGAGAAAGGAGCCCGCGTAGAGGTCGCGCGCGACGCACGACGGCGCGGCCCGCAGGCGCCCGTCGTACGTCGCCGCGGACGCCCACTCGGAGATGTCGCCGTGCATGCGGTACTGCGTCGCCAAGAGGAGGCTGATGTGCGCTTCCCCTCGTCCCGGGCGCCGGTCGTCCATGAGCCGCTCGAAGAGCGTCGCTTTGAGTAGGGCGGCGGGCGCGTTGGTCGGGTCGCCGTCGTCGCACTTCACCGTCGGCGCGAGCTGCCGGTGGTCGCCGGCGAGGACGGCGCGCTTGCCTCGCAAGAGCGGGATCCAGCAGCTGATCTCTAACGCTTGCGCGCACTCGTCGACGACGACCAGATCGAAGGGCGGCGCGTCGTCGAGGAGCCGCGACGCCGCGCCGACGTTCGTCGCGAAGACGACCTGGGCAGGACAAGAGAGATTCAACGTCGCTTCAACGTGAGTGTTCCGTGCGCGCGCGTTCCGGAAAAAGCATCCACGCTTCGAGGGCGTTCCGAGAGATGATCGCTCGTCCAAAAATCAGCCGAAACGAGTGGAAAACGGCCGAGATATGAGGCTTTGAAGTTGGGAATTTCGCTCTCTTGTCCTGCCCTGAAGACGACGGCGCAGCGCTTGACGACGTCCTTGGCGAGCTTCTTCTCGCGGTCCCGCAGCTCGGCGCGCACGACGCGCGTCTCCCGGCGCGCGGCCGTGCGCTTCGCGGACGCGCGGTCCGCGGCCGCGTCCTTGCGTAGATTTCGGAGCTCGGCGCGCGCGTCCTCGAGCACGTCCGCGCCGTCCGCGGTCCGCAGCACCTCCTCCATGGAGTAGCGGCTCGCCGCCTCGGAGAGCCGCGCGGGGTGGCCGAGGCGCAGGAGGCCCCGCGGCGACTTGGCGGCCCTGAAGGCCGCCGCGACGCGCTCGAGCAGGTTGTCGACGGCGACGTTCGACGCCGCGCACGCGAGGACGCGCTGCCCTTTCGCCGCGGCGCGCGCGATGACCTCGACGACCGTCGTCGTCTTGCCCGTGCCCGGCGGGCCGTGGACCAGGAAGAGCGCGGGCTCGGCCTCGGCGCGCGCGACGCACGCGCGCTGGTGGTCGTCGAGATGGGGCGCCGAAGACGGCTGAAGAAGCGCCGGCGGCGGCCGCCGCGCGCGGCCGCCGAGGAGCGCGTCCCGCAGGGCCCGCGTGCCGTCCGGCGCGGCCTTGTGCGCCGCGGCGGCGGCGACGTCGCGCGCCGCGCGCGCGAGCACGTCGTGCGTGCGCGCGTTCGCGACGGCGTCGAGGCGGAGCGAGCCCCGGAGCGACTCGACGGCCTCGGGCGCGGCGTCCGTGAGGAACTCGATGGACGCGTCCGTGGCCTTGGAGACGACGCCGGAGACCTCGGAGACGTCGTCGCCGTCGCCGTCGAGGCGCCGCCCGGCGGCGGGGACCTTGTTCTTCTTGGCTCGGAGCCGGACCTCGGACCGCGCGCCGAGCTTGTGCGCGGGGATGGGCCCGCCGTGCGCCGCCTGCAGCACGACGCGGCTCCGGCCCCCGGGCCCGGCGGCGTCGACCTCGGCGACGCGCAGGTGCAGCACGGAGACGCCGCGCCGCGCGCACGCGGCGGCCGACAGCGTCTTCAGCGTCGCCTCGAGCTCGTCGGTCTCGCTCCGCTGCTCCACGGCGAGGGCCGCGAGGGTCTGCTGCGCCCAGGCGCGGCCGTCGAAGCGCGGGCCGTCGGTGACCGTCACGAAGCGCTCCGCGTCGCGGCCGCTGCTCGACGACGAGAGCGAGTGCGCCTCGCAGAAGACGTGCACGGCGTGGCGCTCCGCCGGCGTGAGCGTCTTCGGGCACGCGACGGAGCCCGTGCGCTCCTCGGAGTCGGCGAAGGCTTGCAGGGCCGCGGCGAGGTCCGCGGGGAGCTCCGCGGGCGTGTTGGGCGCGGGCGACGCGGGCGCCATCGCGTCTGAGGCCCGAGAGCTTCGGCACCTCTGATGCAATACATTTGTCAATGTGAACCTTGCAGTGCTCGCGCCCACGGTGCAGGCGAGCCAGCCCATGGAGAGCTCGATGAGTTCGCTTTGAGAGGCGATGGTCGACGACGACGGGGCCGCGCTGATTCGCAACAACATCGCTGCCCTCTTGATCGCCTGCTTCGGCCATGCCGACGACGACCACGCGGATGCCGAGAAGACCGTCTCGGCGGTCGCGGCGAGCTCCGTGGCGGCGCTCGCGGCGACCTGCCGGCGGGCCAACGCCCTCGTGTCGCCCGGCCTCGCGGCCTGGGGCGCCGGGCACCTCGACGCGACGCTCGAGGCCCTCGAGTCGGGCAAGACCATGCTGAACGGCGCGCTCCTGCACCGCGGCCCCGCGGTGGAGTTCGCGGCGTCGGCGATCTCGCCGCCGTCGTCGCTCCGGGCCCACGCGACCGCGAACGGCGAGCGGCTCGTCCGCGCGGTGCTGGCCACGGTCGGCGACGCGACCTGCGAGCCGTGCCAGCAGCGCGCGCTCCGCGTGCTCACGTGCGTCCTCATGCGCGAGGGCGACGACCTCAGCGCCATGTGCACGACGGGGCTCGGCGCGCTGCTCGCGTCCGACGCGCGCGGCGAGGAGCTCACCAAGCCCAACTGGAACGGCAAGGACATCCCCCGGCTCGGGCCAGTGCGACGAGTTTCGAGAGATGAGGAGAAGGAGGAGGTTGGGAATTTTTTCTCGGATATTCGAGAGATGAGTCGCCGTCGCGCGCGCCCCTCTGTGGAGTCATTTTTTGTGGTAGGCCCTGGCCGACGCTCTGGAACTCGCTGAGCCTGCCCTTCACGAGCGTCGACCGCGAGGACGGCCTGTCGCGCGAGGACGGCGAGATCGTCGAGGAGGTGTTCCCGTGGTACGAGCTCCAGGACGACGAGGACGAGTTCGCGGCCGCGATGATGATCCACGGCCAGTTGGCGACGAACCTCGCCATCCAGTGGTCCGCCGTCGAGTACTCCTACAAGGGCCTCGGCGCGGGCGACGGCGTCGACGCGGCGCTCACGCCGCTCCTCGAGTTCCTGGACGTCGGCCTCTCGATCCGCGGACCGCGCGTCGTCGGCACGTCGGACCGGCGCGCGCCGCTCATCGTGTACCCCCACAAGGCCTGGCACGACTGGGACCTGCGTAGCATCGCCGCGCAGTCGGCCCTGACGGTGATCCGCGCGTACGACAGCGACGCCGCGCGCGACGCGATCCAGGACGCGGACGTCGTCTGGGATCTCGCGCGGCTCCTGGCCGAGGATCCTGGCCGCGCGGCTCCTGGCCGAGGATCCAGCGAGGCGCGCACCGAGGCGCGCGCCTTCGCGCGGCGCGCCCTCGCGATCCACGCCGAGGGCGGCGCGGACTTCGCGGTCCACGTCGCCGCGGCGCTCCTGGAGGCGGGCGCGTGCGCCCTGAAGTGGAGCCTCGACGACACGTTCTCCCTCGAGCCCCCGGTGCTGGCGAACCACAAGGACCCGGACAAGGAGCGCCTGCGCAAGGCCATCCGCATCTCGAAGAAGAAGGAGAAGCGGCCGTCCGCGGCGGCGCTGAGCGTGCTCGCGGTGCACGACGGCGCCGCGAGGACGTGCGAGGACGCGTGGGCCAAGGCCGCGTCGGACTGCGTCAACGCCGTGAACGCGGCCCTGGTGACGACCAACCCGTCCGTGACCCGCGCGCCCCTCTCCAAGTGGGCGCCGCTGCTGCGCTGCGGCGCGTTCGAGGCGCTCGCGCGCGTCGCGTGCGACGCGCGGACGATCGCGCCGACGGCCGCCATGACGTGCGCGACGCTGAGCGAGTTCTTCGAGAGCGAGCCGAGCGCGGCGCTCTGGCGGCGCGCCCAGGTCTGGCGCTTCGTCGTGCGGGCGACGCGGCGCGTCGCCGAGTGGGAGCCCGGGAGCGGGCTCATGGACGAGTTCACGATCTGCGCGCTGCTCACGGCGGTCACGGCCTGCGCGACGACGCGCCCGCCGGGCAGCGACGCCGAGGCCGAGTTCCGCGACGCCTGCTACGTGCTCCTCGACGCGGCGCAGCCCGGCGGCAGGTGCGCGCGCGCGCCCGTGCTGCCCGCGGCGCTGCTCCTGATCATGGAGTGCTGCCTCCCGGCCCCGGGGCGCTACCACGTGGCGCTCGACCCGGCGCGCGCGGGCCCGAAGCTCGTCAAGCTCCTGGGGAACGAGACGGAGCTCGAGCCCATCTCCTACAGCCGCCTGGGCCCGGAGGTGCTCTCGCGGCTCGCTGCGAGCTGTGAGGAAATCAACCACTACGGTTTTGGGTGTTTTGACCAAACTTTGAAATTCGATTTGGCTGATTTTTGGATTGCTCTCGTCGAGTTCTCGAAGCACGGTCGAAGAGCCTGGTCCGATTACGCGCACATTGAAGTCGGGTTGAAGATTTGATTTACACACAGGCTGCGAGCCGCAAGCACGTCTGCTCCGTCGGCGTCGCGGCCGCGGCGGCGCTCTGCGGCCAGGTCTTCGATCCCGACGGCTCCTTCGACGCCCAATCCCAGCTCTTGGACGCGCCGTCGATCGTCGAGAGCCGCGAACTCTCCGAGGACGGCGAGGCGTGGCTGCGGCACGCGGCGACGGCGGTCGACCCGCTCCTCGCGGCGCTCCGCTGGCAGACGCCCGGCGCGTCCTTCGCCGGCGCGCTCCTCGGCGCGCTCTGCGAGCACGACGCCGACGACGCCTACGAGGGCGACAACGAGCCGCTGAGCTACAGCCTCAGCCGCGTGCTCTTCGAGGACGTCGCCGGGGCCGTGGGGGCCGGCAGGGCGGGCCGCTTCGTGGCGCTCCGCACCTTGGCGACCCGCGGCACGATGCTCGACGCGCTGCGCAACGAGGAGCGCAAGGGGCGCAAGGTCGTCGGGCGGATCCTGGAGCGAAGGAAGGGGAATAACCAGGAGGATTCGGAGGAGGAGGAGAGCAGGGAAATGCGCGAGGCCCGGGCCGAGACCGCCGAGGCGGAGCTGCTGGCGCTGTTGGACGACGAGGAGAAGAAGGAGGGCGACCGCAAGAAGAAGTGGGGGCGGAAGAAGGGCAAGAAGAAGGGAGGAGAAGACGAGGGCAAGAAGAAGCGGGGAGAAGACGAGGGCAAGAAGAAGCGGGGAGAAGACGGGTCTGCGGCTCCGTCGCCGGCTCCGGCGCTCGAGGCCTCGGACGACGACGAGGACGACGACGACGATCTATTACTCCTCGCGCGGCAGCCTTCGAAGAAGCCGTCGTCCAGGAAGCCGGCGTCGAAGCCCGAGCCCGTCGCGGCTCGCGTCGCGGCTCCCGTCGAGCCCGAGCCCGCGCCCGTCGCGCCCGTCGCGCCGCCGGCGCCCGCGCCCGTCGCGCCCGCCGCGCCGCCGGCGCCCGCGCCGAGGCCGCCGGCGCCCGCGCCCGTCGCGCCCATCGCGCGGCTCGAGCCCATCGCGCGGCCCGTGTCCATCGCGCCGTTGCCGGCCGCACCGCGGCCCGCGGGGCTCATCGCGCGGCCCGCGGCGCCCATCTTCGACGCGCGGCCGGACATCATGACGCGACTTCCGGGCGTGACCATGGCGCCCATCGCGAGACCGTCGGCCATTCAAAGCGCGGGTTGCCCGCCGCCGGCGCCCATCGCACCGATCGCGCGGCCCAACGACGCGCCAGTCCACTACGACAAACCTTCGCCTCCGGCGTCGCCGCCCAAGCCTCCGAGCCCGTCCAGAGCGGCCAAGGCCGCCGCGCCCGCGCCGCCGCCGACGACGCTGGCCGGCGTGCTCGCGCGCGTCGGCCTCGGCCACCTCGAGCCCATCTTCGACGCCGAGGAGGTCGACTTTGAGGCCCTGGGCCTGCTGCAGTGTCCTATATGGCCGTGGAGAGATTTTCTTTTGTGGTGAAATCGTCACCGTCATGCTTGGTAGGCCTGCTGCGGCCCGACGACTACGCGTCGCTCGGGATCTCGCCCTCGGACGCCAACGCGATCGTCACGGCGCTCGCGGCGCCGCTCGAGGCGCGGTTCCTCGGCCCCGCGGCGGCGCCGGCCGGCGGCTCCGCGGCGGCGGCGAGCCCCGCGGCGGCGGCGCCGAGCCCCGCGGCGGCGGCGCCGAGCCCCGGCCGCTCCGGCCGCGTCGTCTGGTTCAACGATAAAAAGTTCCACGGCTTCATCAAGCCGGACGGCGGCGGCGACGACCTCTTCGTCCACGGCGGCGACGTCGGCGAGCCCCTCAAGACCGGCGACCGCGTGCGCTTCGACGTCGCTCGCTACCGGGGCCGGGACAAGTGCGTCGGCGTCGTCAAGGTCGGGGCGCGCGCTCCCGCGCCGCCGCCCGCGCCGCCGCCGCCGCCGCCGAGCGAGTCCTATCCCGACGAATTCGCGTGCCCGATCAGCTACGAGCTCATGCAGGATCCCGTCATCGCATCCGACGGGCACACCTACGAGCGGAGCGCGATCGCGGCGTGGTTCGAGCGGAGGCGCACGTCGCCGATCACGAACGAGGACCTGCCGAACCTCGACCTCGTACCGGCGCACGCCATGCGGTCCCTGATTGCGCGGTGGCTTGAAACGAATGCAAGCTAGTTATACTAAGGGGACGAGGCGGCGGCACGGTCGTGCGCGTGCTGACGGACTGGAACGCGACGGAGCGCCGCGCCGTGGAGCTCGCGTGCGCCGAGGGCTTCGCGACGTGCGACTTCGGGGGCGCGGTCGTGCCCGCGGTGTACCGGTCCCGCGAGGAGCTCGAGTGCGTCGCGACGGCCTTCGAGCTTCTCCCGATCCCGCGCGCCCGACGGTGGTGGATTGCAGCTTCCTCGGTTAACTAGTACTCGTCGCTCCGAGGTGGATTGGAGCCGAAGTGGACGAGGTAGAGCACGGCGGTGCACACGATGCACGCGGGGATGTAGAGGATGCGCGCGGCGATGTCGAGCCGGAGGCTCGGCGGCTGGTAGAGCAGGGAGTTTTTGATGGACGGGCTGACGGAGACGGCGAGGCGGTACTTCAGGTCGTAGTAGAGCATGAATTCGCAGAAGTCGTCGAAGTTCAGCGTCAGGTGCCGCGCGGCCGTCGGGATCGGCCGGTTGTTCTTGCTGAGGAAGATCTCGACGTTGCGGAGCGCGTCCTCCGGCGACAGGAAGACGCCGTACCACTTGAGCGCCGTCTGGAGCTCGCGGTGGTCGATCTTGCCGTCGCCCGACGCGTCGCACGAGGAAAAGATGCGCCGCAGCGTGTCCATTTCCGCCGACCGGAGGGGGTCGTAGGACTCGTCGCGCGTGATGACGCGGCTCGACCGCTTCGAGACGGAGAAGCGCTGCGAGAGCCGCACGTCCTCCGCGTCGGCCTCGTCGGCGGCGGCCTCGTCGCCGTCGCCCGTCGCCCCCACGGGCTCGAGCGGGATCTCCTCCGGAGCGGCGATGTCGGAGAGCTCCGCGAGCGCCCGCCGCCGCGCGAGCGCGCCGTGCTCGATGATCAAGAAGTGCTGCACGAGGATGTAGTGTAGGATGGCGTAGGTCGACAGCGCCTCCGCCGTCACCAAGAGCTGGCAGAGGAAGATGGACGTCGAGTAGCGGGGCCGCCCCGCGTAGACGCTGTTGAGCAGCCTAAGATTTGGTGGTGCGGGGTCGAAAGTTCTTTTTTCGTGTGCTGTCCAAAAAGCTCTGCCGAGGTGAAGGCGAGCATCCAAAAAAGCTCTGCTGCGGTCGCCAAATGATGCTCTTATCACAGACGCAGGAGAAACTCGCGTGCGCAGGATCAGCACCGGCAGCACGGCCGTCGCGACGCGCGCCGGCGCCGACTCGCGCGCGACGAAGAACCCCGCGTAGGAGATCAGGAGGAACATGATCGTCGGGAAGAAGACCTCCATGACGTAGTACCAGGACCGGCGCTTGAACCGGAGCGTGAGGAGGGCGTAGTCCCAGGCTTGGCCCCAGAGGTCCTCGGAGTTCGTGTAGGCGTACGCGCCCTTGAGCGTCCACTCCGCGGGGTTGTTGTGGATCGACACCTTGACGCCCATGCCGTCGATGAAGCCCAGCGCGACGTCGCTCTTGTAGTAGAACCTAAAGAACAGCGCTCGGGGGTCGCAAACTCTAAACTCGGGAAAAAACCAGGACGTCATTTTCATCGGGCATTCCGAGTGGTCGTACGGCATCGCCGCGATGTCGAAGCTGCAGCTCAACCTGCCAGTCTACGTGAATGTCCCACGTTCGAAACGAACGCCGGCTAAGCGACCTGTGGTGGATCTCGTACTCGACCCACACGAGGCCGTCGGGGTAGATCCACGTGCCTCCGCCCGACCGCGCGTCCCCCAGGTACTCGTAGAAGATCTCGTTCGATCTCACCGCGTTGTCGATGAAGAGGTTCGGCCGCCAGATGTGCGCCGTCGCGTGGGAGGACAGGATCCAGCCCTCGACGTGCTTCTCGCAGCCCCCGGGCGCGCCGTACTGGAGCCGCCAGTCGTAGTACGCGATCTGCATGAAGCCGTGGACCTGGAACGTCTGCGTCGACTCGTCGATCGTGTAGGCCCGGATGTCGAG